CCCTAAATCCTAAACCTTAAGTCCCCCTTTGCACCTGCTTCTTCGGCCGCTTGGTGCAGGAAAGAATGATGCCGTGCTCAGAGCCAACCAGGAACTTCGTTGGCCCTGCTTCCTGTTTGAACGGTCTTGGGCTTGGGCTTCGGCTTAGATGGCTTAAGATTGTACCTATAGTGCCAAATTACCCATGAACATCATGTTGGTCACTCTGTTCTATGATCTGTTTGAAGAGTGCTGTAGCGGAGCCTAAATGCTTGCCAATACCCTTTCGAGGTTTATGTTAGATACCCTGTACCATGACTATACAAGGAATGTAAGACTAGTATAATGGTACTTATTTTGGTTCCTGCAGAGTTGGGGTTAGGGTTGTAGAGCTTGAGGTTGTACACTTCAGGCTTGAAGGTTTAGGGAATTGCTGGGTTCGGCGAGCCCTATAGGGTTGAAGTGGGTTGCAAAATCTTCTGCTCGGTTGTTTTTCACTTTCAATCTAATGCTGCTTACACGCCCGGTTTCTAAGCCTTTACTGTAAAGTGCCAAACAAGCTTTGACGAGTCATTATAGTGCTTCTAGCGCACGACAGAACCCTAAACTCTGCAGCGAAGGCCCACCAGACAAGGCCTCAGCAACCCAGCCCAGCACCACTCTCTAATGTAAGGGTTATGTGAGGGTTAAAATTATGAAGGCTAACCAAGGACACTACCACACAATGGAGACTCAAATGGAAAAGGAAATGGAAAATGACAAGGAAGCTAGGGTATATAGGGATTCTGGGAGATGTTGCTAATTCAGTACAATACGGGTCCGTATGGTCAGGTTTTTGTTATAGTACGGGTACTTCCGAAAATTCTGCCATTCTGGGAGTGGTGGCCGAGGCCCATTTCTGTCCAAAACGCTTCAGCGATCATAATGCTCGTTGGTACGCGTCTTATGCAGAGAGCCAGTTCTAGGGGCATCCAGAACACTGCAGCTGCAAGATGCTAGCCATGACGTGACGGATGTTCCTAGCTTTGAGCGAGTTCCACCCTCAAAAGCCACGAACGAACGCACTCATTGCCTGCATCCACTCCAAGGAGACGCCACCTGTGCCCGTAGCCACTCAGGCACAGAAAGCTGGTGTGTTGTCCCATGCTTTATGGCGAAATCTCTTGGACTGGAACAAGCTTCGGCTCAATTCTGCCGAGGCATGCAGGCGCACCAAACATGCTAAACAGAGGCATGCGGGAGCATTCTCTAGCACAGCCATTCTTCAAAACCAAATCCTCCTATGCGCCCTCACGCGTCCACATGCTTCCGGGAAGAGCTGACTTTGATACTGCTGCTTCAGCGCACAGAGGCGCCTAGGGTTTTCGGATGATCCTTGTTGCCATCCGTGAGCACGCACTCATCCTGCACCTGCCACAGAGCGATTTTCTGTGTCGTTTGCAGGTTGGAGTGGCTCTAAGCCATGTCAACGTCTAGCAGGTGAGCGATTCGTGCATCATGAGCTGCATGCAAGTACGGCGTCTGTGGATATTTGCCCAATGCATCTCAATACCCCTGAATCCCCAAAATCCTAGCATAGCAGTATAACAACCCCAAATCACTGAGAAGCCTCGCTTAGCTTCCGCACGTCCCAGAAGAGGAGCCGACCGTCCGAGGAGACTGAAGCACACTCGGTACCTAGGTGGCTTAGGGGCACTATGATTTGGAGTGTAGGGAGTTAGGGGTTGGGGTTCACGGAATGGGCTTTCCGGATTTGTGGATTGAGGCTTCAGGGTGTTTGGATGTGAGGTTTGGGGTTACGGGCTGAGGCTTAGGGCCGGGTATAGGGACTGAGTAGGCCAGGTCCGCAGTTTCTACTCGTTAAGTTGGAGGCATAAGATGGGGATTCCAAGAGCACCTTAGTCCGCAATGCTTGTAATCCCCCCAAACCCTAAACCCTAAAACCATAAACCCTAAAACCCTAAACCCTTGCCTCTGAAATTAAACACTCGTTCCCTGTGGCTCCCAGGCTGCAAAAAACATTGTGCATGGTTGGGGCAAGGGGTTGATGATCATGCAAAGTTGATACAGGCGGGAAAGTCGTATGGCGCTGAATTAGGTGTCCCATGCGTGATTCAAGGCGGAAGGTCAGGTCCACTCATTTGGGCTGTTGAAAGCCTACCCTGGCAGCAGTTATAGGAAAGGAAACAAGGTTTGGTTCAGGGTGTGTGGAATTTAGGCTCCCCCTATGCTTTCTAGGAAGTGGGGCTTCCGGAAAGTGAAGGGGTGTTCGGTGTGTGGGAATTGGGTTGCCAAGCAATCTGGCGGTACGCGGCTACGAGAGGCATCCACAGCTTGGCGTGTTTAACACGACAGCCGTCTTTTCTGGAATCGTGTGGAAGAATATCTTACATCTTGAAAAGTTAGGGCAGTTAGGGCAACTTGATTACTGGGGAGATCTGGACTGATGCACAAGGCGCTCTTCGCACTCATCAACTTTGCGCGCTCCAGATGTAAGGTAGGGCCATACTTTCTATGAGCAGACTAAGTACACCCAAACACGTCTTGGCAAGGGCGAACGGCCACAAAGCCGAAAGCAACCCACACATTCGTCATCCCAAACACAAATCCAACTGCTGAAGATATCGGGTATATGGAACCATTTATGGAAACGAAGCTATTGCGGTGTATATGGGTTCGGCGTGGGAGCTACAGTGTAAAAGAAGGACTAGCACCAAAGGTCCTGCTGCACAGAAGAAACTGTTGCTTCAGCTGCCGCGGTCCAACGGGTTCGCGTTTGGGGTTCCAGGCTAATTAGCCCCATACATTAGCAGGACCCCCCACCCTGTAGTAGTGGTATAATAGGAATATAAGAGGACCCTAATACAATCCTTATTATGCATAATAGTCACTATTACTGGGTGGGGGGTCCACCTAATCCATACATTATTTGACAAGGGAGTTTTGAGTACAATAGCCCATCCTAGAAGGTGCAGGTTGCTGCTTCTTCCTAACCCCGCGCTGACTGGCGCAGTAACCGCCTGACGCCAGTTTGAACATAAGCAGTCCCGGAATGCTTCCGGTAGCAGTATAGTTCAGGGACTCCAACATCATGGAGCATCTTGTCCAGCAAAAATTTGCAGAAGGCTTTAAGTGCTGATTTCACGAACCCCAACTGAAACAATATCCCAACCACCTGAGATGTCCCCACCTTTTCAGGATATCCCAAAAAACGATAAGAGTCTGAAGGGCTCCTGATCTTAACACTCAAGGTACTACAATTTCATAGTAACATGATATTGCAATTTAGGGTTTAGGGGGTTCAGGGCTTCAATAATGCTCTACTGCACAAATACAGCGCCACAGCAAGCCCAGGCACCTGTCTTGCTCTGCAGCCAGACCACGTCGTAGACCTTGCGACTGGGACTGTGGGAGAGTGCTTACCGCAGTAGAGGGGCTCTTATTACTAACGCTAGTCCTACGTACCCATGTTGGAGACTCCAAGAGACAAGAAGATGGAAATTTAATGAAAACTGGGCTGGTATTGGGATGATAGGGCTTATCGCCAGCTTGCTTCATCCTAGTTGTTTCTGGAGTTTTGGTTTTTCTGGAGCCCGAGTAAGCGAAGCATCATCCCCAGCTGCGATGAGGCGCTCTTAGCGCCCAATGCCCGAAGTAGGCAGCGCCTGTCGGATAGCAAGCCCATCTGAAAGTGTGATGCGAGCGATGTAAGAGCTCATCCTACTCCAAACCAAATATAAGCAGACTGCAGGAAGAGGCCGCGCAACTCCACTAGGGTCCCTTCTACCAAGCACTACAGTCACCACAGTGTACCATGAGCTACTGCCCAGCAACAACTCCAGAAGCAAAACTTTGGTATGAGACATTCATGCCTGAATTTTGTGGAGCTCGCCTCAACCATAAAATCCCCATGAGCCAGTCCTACCGTACAGAGTACCTGGGGGGTCAGGAAGACTTATGGGGTTAGGGCTTAGGGTCTCCTACAAACCGTTTAACAACCCCGTTATCCCCGGATGTATCTACTTACGAAGTGCCCTGACCCTCCAAGCGCACGCCGAATTGACATGAAAGACTTGCAGCCAGCTGGCGGGATCGTAATGGCCTACCTCAACCGAAGACTTCATGCACGGCGAGGGCCCTTTTCGCAAGTCATAGTGATTGATTAAGCCGTTGTAGCTGCCACCCAGGAGCCTGCGCACTCTCGGACTACTGTTACTATTATCACTATTACTAATATTATTCCTATTCTATTACTACTATTATCATCACTATGATTTTTAGTGGTATTATTATCATTATTACAAATCCCACTATGTGTAGCTACTATGTTAGCCAGCAAATTCGCCCGGGGCTAGCATGTATGCCGACTTGCTCCGATCTATAGTAAGCGACCCCCACAGAATTCTCCAAGTTTAGGGTTTAGGGTTTAGGATTTAAGTTGAAAGGCTCATGCACGCATCATAAGGGCGCTTTACTGCGGGATGAACCCACGATCCTCACCATCCAGGGCGCGCAGCAAACTCTGACAGGAAACAATCCCTATATAACCGTATGTATCCCTTCAAAGGGACCTAGGGTTTCCATTTTCTTTTCCATTATCCCAATAAACCCTAAACCCTAAACTGCTCTAAACCCTATAGTAGTTTCCATTTTCTTTTCCATTATCCCTAAATAACCCCAATATAACCCTTATTAATAACCCTTTGTTGAGGCTCTTGCTCCGCTAGTTCTACATACGGGAGTTTCCACAAGCAGGGACCTCAACATCACTTGTCCAGTGTACCAAAATCCTTTTCATGTTGGGGCTAAAAAATGGTTATGCATCAGGGTTATATTGGGTTAATGGAAAAGAACAAAGACATGTTCAGTGAATCTTACAGTACACCAACGAGCGTTCTCTCAAATGGTCAATTGCTTTGACTGGCTATCGACACGACATTAATGGCCCTAAACCCTAAACCCTATAATGATGATGGAAATGATGGAGGCTTACTTGCGGCAAGTCGGGAAGCAAGGGTCCTTGGAGCGGTCCCATAGCCTCCCCAAAGTGAACTCCCCATGTTCTATTGCTGCCCTCCCTGCAAACCATCAGCAAGGAAAGGCTTCTTTCCAACCCAGGGGCCAGTCCGCATTCTTCTGATTGTACTGGCAGCAAATAAGCGGTGAGGTGGCTCGCAGCTCCATCAATGGAACCTCGGCGGGTCAATCCTGCATCTTCAGAAGCAGCGGCATCAGTAGCAGCAGTAGTAACAGTAATAGCAGTGATACTCGGAGAAGAAATGGTGGCAGCAGCAGAAGCAGCAGAAGCAGCAGAAGCAGCAGAAGCAGCAGCAGGCTGCACCATGGAGGGGCGGCAGCTGCAGCAGTACAAGAAGATGTCATCTAAGGAATGAGGGCAAAGCATGGCACAAGTGGCGATGCCGACCATCGAATCAAGGCGCACGGGGCGAGAAAGCCTCCATCAAAGGCTACACATCCCTCGAGTCCTTCCAACTCCTGAACCTCACCCTCTCTTCCACGTACAGAGGTGCTATTTATGCAAGCTACAATCCTTTACAATAGCCATCTATATGGAGTGCCGCAATTTGAATTTTGGAGAGGGTAAGTGCCACAAAGGAGCGTTTCGTTCCGAGATGTCCCAGATGAAGGATGCCATTGGCATGTCTTCAGACATACCTGGCTTAAGGGCGGGTAAGATTTAAAGTGTTATGCTTGGGGCTTAACTTAAGGGTTGTTTGTAGGGAATGGAAAATCACATGGAAAAGAATATAGGGAAAAAACGGAAGGCACTACTTAGGTCTTCGCGGTCCAGGTTGTTAGCAGGGTGCATCCCCAAAAAATCCCTATAATAACGCATTCAAATTCCCTACCGACCGCCGGTAGCTATGAGCAAAACTTGTTCCAAACAGTTTGCTGATCTACTGGGGAGGGATGATGTGGATTGTAGTAAGGTGTGGGCTATACAGGAATTATATGGATATATAGGGATTATAGTATAGGGGATATATAGGGGATTATATAAGGGTAATGGAAAAGAAAATGGAAACTAACTACTGTAGCATATTTCTGGTTAAAAGCTTCGTCTGTGGCATTCCCAAGACCTCCAGTACGAAAGGGCCTGCTGGAAGATGAGATGTTCGCCTCAGGACATGGACCTGCACAGCATATCCCCGATTGCAACTAAGGAAGCAGACATTTCTCGTATGCTGGTAATTTAGGAAACCAACGTTGGCCCACAAATGTGAAAAAGCAACGTCGCTACACTAGCCTCGATAGAGACTTCAAATCCAAACCCTAGGCCCTAACCCTCATCAAATCAACATGGAACCCATATCACGCTTTTAAAGACAGTAATCTTATAGGGACCCTTTTTGGGTTCCATGTCAGTTTGGGGGAAAGTAACATTAAAACCAGGGATCACTCAGTATTGATGCCCTGGCTATTTCACGGCTGCCAAAGTGCGCTGGAATCGGAGGTTCGAGTACGAGCCAACCAGCCTGAAATGTACATGGGGTTTAGGGTTTAGGGGTTTAGGGTTTAGGGCCTTAGATCTCTAAATCCTAAAGTTAAGGGTTTAGAGATCTAAGGGCTTAGGGTATAGGCTTTGGGGGTTTTGCGCTTAGGGGTTTAGATCCGAGGCCATGAGTGCGACTAGGAATTACGACAATCACCTATATGAACCTGAGAACAAATATAGCCCCCATTAAGTAGATAGAATATGGGGTATATGGGGATCCTATTATAATATACCCAAAGCCATATTCTGTCTACTTAAGGGGGACTATAACTACAAGATTACTGCACGGAGTTCTACTAATTTGTGCCAGCGGCACTTGGGCCCACAAAGTGTGCGAATGCTGGCCTGTTTGGCTGCTTTAAGTGGTGTTGGGCCATTTTTTTACCTACTCTTGGGTTTTAGGTACTACAAACACTAAACCCTACACTGATCCTACTGTAGTTCTAGGAGCATGCCTAAATCCAGCTCAGGAGCTTCGTGGGACCTTCCGGATGCCAGCCGATTTTGGTGACACTCCGCGCTTCATCCGAGGGATCCTCCGGCTTTCCCAAGGGTCATGGGATTTCCTTCAAAGGGGAGATGGGGGACATATTGGGGATACGTAAGAGAGATATTGGGACTAATGTAGAGTATAAATTCCGCACCCATCCTGTTAGGAACATGAGTAAACTCAACAATTCCTCGCTCCACCCCTGTGGTGTGGTTGGGGGGGAACAGAAAACATTCCCCCAATGTCGTGGTGGCTCTAAGGTAGGATTCAATTCTACCCCTACGTGGTCCTATGGCTTGTGGTCCGGGCTTTGTGGTATAAACAGTGTTTATGGAGGGGTTTATGGTTATTGTAAAGGGCTGAATACGTATTGTCCCGCCCCTGTGGTCCTGTGGCCTGTGGTCTGCTTTCACTCCTTAATCGGGGCAAAGGTCTAGGGAGTGTGCGTGCTTTCGGCTTTAAATGCTTCAGGCTCAACATTAAGGTTTGCCTTCCCTGCAAAATCAGACCATGACCCTGACCCTCTTACGTGTCCATCCTACCCCTCATGCGTTCTGTCCCGCGCAGCTCACCATGCCACTAGGCTAGACGAAGTCATCTTCAGTTGCATGAGATAAATGCATATGGACCTGGCCCATAAACAGCGACTGCACCCCTCAACCCTAAAGTGCGTGGCCAATCACAGGCTGTACCAGGGCCGAGTTGTTTTGGTTGCCGAGACCCTGTCCGCGGAACAGGAAGACCCTCTAATGTAGGGGCCTGAAGAAGCATGAGTACGGTTGTGAAGTCTTTTTAAACCCTATGCCATACTTAATTAAGAACCATAGCAGTCGTAATCTAATTAAGCTCTATAGCCACCCAAGCTCCCAAACCCCAACCACCCGCCTTCATCCCATCCAAAATCTTCTGAATTGACCTTACCCTCATAGTGGCCACTGTTCAAGTAGCAGCTTCCGCGAATAGATGGACCCCAAGAAAGACCCCAAAACAGTGTAACCCTTGTCATGCGGACCCCCCCAAACTAAATCTGGGAAACCCTACATTCCAATATAACCCCTACATAATCCCAATTAAACCGCTTTAAGCTGTAGTCTCCTTAGACATCTCAGAAAAATGTGTTGAATGGTTCCTTAGGGTTCTACTATTCAAAAAATTAACAATGATTCCTCAGGAGACTTTTTAAAGGTACCCCTAATTTTGGGAAACCTAAACCCTAAACCCTATATAACCCCTATATAAACCCCTTTTAAGGTACCCCCTTTGTACTTTTTCGAGAGTCCCTTATTGCCTTTACCTGGCCCTAAGGACCCAAGGCTGGGCCTTGAAAAGCGCGATGGTCTTGAGGTTGAGGATCCTCAGTGTCATGGTCTTAGGGTTTAGGGTTTAGGGATTGGGGTTTAGGGTTAAGGGGTTTAGGGTTTAGGGATTAGGATTTGGGGTCTAGGGATTAGGGCTTAGGAATCCGGGGCGTCAGGGATTGGGATTTAGGGTCTAGTGTTTATTGCTTAGGGTTTAGGGCCCAGGGGAATTTGGGATATTACCCTAACAATGGAGAATCAGAAAAGCACATGAAAATTGAAATGGAAACTGGGGTTTCTACGGATGTCAGGGGCGTAGGGATTACTTACGGGTGGTTACGAACGGAATGGAGCAAAAGGTTCCTATGGGCACTTTCTTTGGAGTCTTCTTCTCTCGATATAGTACGCGTACATGTGAATTACCGGTGATCTAAACCCCTAAAGCCTAAACCCTTCACAGCAACCCAGCTGAATGGCCATAAGGAGGAGATTTCTTCTCTCTCAGCCCAGCAACTCTGGCATGTGGTCCGGCTCCTCATCCTGAAAATAGATCTGAAAGAGGTCGATGGTGTTGTTCCTGGACGCAAGGTTTCGGGTTTGAGGTAGGGATTGGCCGAAGGCTAATCGAGGAGGTTCGAGTTCCTGTGGCTAAAGATTTTGGGATAAAGGTCTCTATAGGTTTTCCGACAGCCACTTTTTGAAAATGCATACTGAGCAAGCGACGACCGGGCTACCATAGTGCCTCCAGGAGACTAATCTACCTGGCTCCCCAACGTCCAGAGTATGTGGAATCCAAATGAAAAGTTCTACAAAACTCGAGGTGGCTTTATGAGAGCTACGAAAAAAAGCATTCTGGTATATTGATGTACTATGTATGAGGAAGACCTACCTGTGGGAGTACCCCTATGCCCATAGCCTCTACTGGTTCCCAATGCCTATGAGGAACCCCTGGCCCCAAAGCATATAACACGCATATAGTCCCCAAGTTGCCAAACCATCGAAATCCTTGCAAATCAAGAGGGTCCCTTGGTACGGGTGGGTCGCAGAAAGAGTGCCTAGAAAACAAACAATCTGTCCGCTGTTGTACGTGAAACTTATTGAAGCAATGCAGGGGCCGAAACAAACAGACATGAGGTTTTGGTGTACATCTGGGTTTCCAACAAATTGGCGTTTTTTGGGGTGGTCCACATACTAGGAATTGCAGTGGAGTGGGGGCATGTAGTACCATACTCCACTGCACTACTACTGGAAAGGATGTAAAAGGCAAGATCTTCTCAAATACTGAAGCAGCTCCTAGTACGCAGAAAACTGCCGGCTGCATGCCCTCAGCGCCCAAAAAAGGCTATTTGCTTGCATGGTTCTCTACCTAGCCGTGTCCCGGTTATTATGATGACTACGATTTTTAATTTTACCCTGGGTTGGCCCCTAAAACCCTTTGAAAAATATTAGTATATAGGGTCCCTTAGTAAAGCCATTAGGGAAAATATTAAATGTCCCAGGGGCCTACCCAGTACCTATTTCTTAGAACTAGTATTATTTGTTTGGGGGCTCTATGGCCCCAGTCGGGCACCCAGCTTCCCGGACAAGCTGCGGAAGACCTTCTTGAATGCCATCTCGCTACACCATCGGGATTATTTAGGTTTCTACTGGGGTTATGTAGGGGTTTTTAATTGTGCTTATGCAGGGTTTGCACTGTGAATATTCATACGTATTTGCATCTCTTAATGAACAGTAGTATACCCTGTGCTGTTAGAGTACGGCGGCTGAACCTCAATGGTTACTTACCAGAAAGCAGGGGGTCCCCCCTGTGCACCCTTAAACACTGTAACCCTTGTTGTAGAGGCCCGCCACACTGGGACCCCGAAGTTTTGGAATCCCCACAATGAAGCCAGGCGTCATCTCGAGGCATGGGACAGTCTGTTTAGTGAGCTGTCTCACTGCACTAATGTAGGCTGGGTCCTGGCCGAAGGAGACACCAAAGGCTAGGTAGGTAGTTTGCGAGACGCTTGTGCCATCTTGGTTCACTGTTGTAGAAACTATCGGTTATTACCTTGTTATAACTTGAGCTTTGCCGCTATAGATCCGAAGTAGAAACAGCAGCTTGAACGCAGGCCAAGTACCCAGCTTAAGAAATGCGTGGACCACACTGTCCGAAACATAACCCAACCAAAGTAGGGCTCCGGCGGACAAGTCGTGCAAGACACCATTACCCAGCCCAGAACAACACCAAAGGATGCTCAAACAACACTAGCAGTCATAAGCATAGAGGTCGTAAGAGTACAAGCACTAGGAATAAGAACACCAATCGCAATCATGACGGCAAAAAAGGGCAGAAACACCAAACCCTATTCCTTCAGCCCTAAACCCCTAGACCCTAGCCCGTGTACGTAGCCTAAAAATGATAACAAACCTACATGGATGGGAACATTGCTCCTTTGCCCGGGACCTAAGCCCCAGTTTAGGGCTTAGGTTTTAAGGCTAAATCCTGCAGCATAAAAGCCCAGACGCACCCCGAAGCCCTACTTTACCCGGTATGTCCCTGTAGCCCTTCAAAACGTATACCCCAGATTCGTAACACTAGAACTAGCACTGGTGGTAATAATCATTGTAGTAACAGTAAGACTGGTGTTGATAACAGTAAGTATACGCGTAGCTTCAAGTAGTCGTAACAGCAGCAGTAGTAAAAATACGAATAGTGATGATAGTAGTCGTCGTAGTAGCAATAGCAGCAGCGGCAGCAGCAGCAGTAGCGACCGCAGTAGTAGCAGCACCAGTAGTAGAAATTCTGATGGGTGAAGACCAGGATTTCGCAGGGTCCTTTTCCAATCGCTTGCGATACTTCAGGGTGTCTTGAGCCTCGCCTGGGAGTTTTTCTTCAGATGAGTGTAATTAATGTGTGGGGTTTACCGTTGCGATTTAGGACTCAGAGCTCAAGTTTGTAGGGTATGGAACCTTAGGATTTTTTTTGGTCCAGCTTTAGGGTCTTTGGCACTTAAGCTCTGTAGTTTGCAGGGCTTAGCTTCTTCGTTTTCACCGGCATCGAGGACTCCTATAGTATATTGGCGGTTGTATGATTAGTTATAACGGAAAAGAAATGGGAAACTAATATAGTATGTTGGGAACGCGCTCAACTGCCCAGTAATTGGCCAGAAATGAGATCTTCACAGGGGTGACTGTGAGTTGGACATTTGTCCAAAGAAGTTGTACCAATCTCCATTCTTGGACTATTTGGGGATACTATGGTACCCCAATAATGGAGAATCAAATGGAAAAGAAAATGGAAAATGAAATGGAAACTGGGATTATCTAGGGGTTATATTATATTGAATGTGTAAACTTGCGGTCTTACATGTGACAGCAGCTACCACCTCTCGCGAAGACCTCATGAAACCTTCCAAACGAGAAACTCCCAGAGAACAGGAATGGGACCTATGGGCCATTAAGGAACTTAAATTACTATAATAAGGAAACCCTATTATTTACTATTCACCCATATGTATGGTAACTTAATTTACGGCCCTCAAAAGCAAGGAATCATTACGGGGCCATATCCACAGATCTGGTGGTTGGTCAAAATTGTGGTCCCTTTGGGGGGTCCCTAGCATAATGCACACAGCCTAGGGTTTTTGGTCTAAGGATAATGGAAAAGAAAATGGAAACTACTATATAGCACAAAGCCCAAAACAATTAGGTTGCCCGAAATTAAGGGAAATTTCAGGTGGGGAGTTACCAGGTGGGTACCCCTACATGAGGCTTCTATAAGGCGTGTATGGGGAGCCTAGAGGAATATAAATGCTATATAGAGCTTATATGGCGGAAACTACCCACCTGAAATTTCCTTAGATGAAAAGGGAACATATTCTTGACGACCCCCCAATCTGGATGTCAGACCAAGGCACTGTAGTCAATCTCCTTCGGCCAGCCACCTTCCACGTGCCTCGGCTTAGATTACGAAAAATAGAGAGTCAAGTGGAGAAGAACATGAAGCGGAAACGGGGTTTATATAGGGGTTATATAAACGGATCATGTAATGTAGGCGCCTCATGGCATACTTAACAATATCATGTTGAAGTCTGTTTGTGGTACTTGTACCCCAAACCATGAAAAGTTACGCAACGAATCTAGGACACCACCCCTAAACCCTGGGGCATGGAGCTCCTGGGTGGTACAAAATTTCCTCCATCCACCGTGGAACTTGAGCCTGGGTTGTGTCTGAAGAGCTGTAAGGATGAGCCCAACACTGACCATGTTCCTCACTGTTTGGGGTTAAGGGTTTCGGATTTAGGGCTCAAGGTTCCAGGTTTAAGGATTTAGACACACGCGCATCGCACAGCAGTGCAGGCACGGCAGAGAATGTCCGGTCCGGATCCAGTTCTGTGACTGGTTTAAGGATTTAGGAATGGGGGTTTAGGGCTCAAGGTTTAGGGTGCTCTCATATACACATCCCCCGTGGCTCACAACATTCATATTCTTCCTGGACCCCCGAGAAAAAGGTATCGCGCTTTCATTTCTCAGACCTGAAATACTCTAACAAACCTCTCCGAACTGACTGCTGCTTATAGTCTCCCTGACATAGATGGAATATGACTTTTGGTATATTACAACAAGATCCCCATATACCACATTCTATCTACTTAAAGGAGACCATAGGTGCAAGTGATGCTATCTGAGACGAAACAACAAGCCCCAGGGCTTCAAGTATGTGGTAGGTAGGTCCAAGTCCTGGTCCCTTTTGCGTAACCCAGCTATTCGGGGCCAACTTATCAATTGAGGTCAAAAAAAAAAATTGACCCCTCCGATATGGGGCTTCAGGAACTCATCCATTCGCAGTCTGACCCTAAATAGTAGTTTCCATTTTCTTTTCCAGTATCCCTATACATAACCCCTAAATAACTCCTATAATCCCGATACAACCCCTATAGAATCCCTATAATCCTGCCTCTTGCAGCCGGCTCACGTCATGACACGCGCAAAAGTCTTGACTCTGGCTGTGTTGACAGAGTGCTCAGAGAACTCTGGGATGTTGTGGAAGACCTCAGACACAAGGACATGGTATGTTCAAGCAGTCCAGGATGAAGAAACTGCTGAGAAGGCAAGCTAAAAAAGATCAAAAACTTTATGCATCTTGTCCTCAAGTCTCACTCCCGAAGATGCTAGAATCTAGAACTGGGTAAAGAGGTTGGAGCTCTCCAGTTTGCATCTATACTGGCTTGGGAGGAATTAAGCACTATCCTTGGCCCAAGAAGTCAGCAAGACCATGTCGCAAGCTTGTGGAAAGCCAGAGAGAATACTTCTTCAAAAGCTACAGAGCGTGTCCCAAGCTCTGAAACCCTATAATTGACCGCCTCAAGCCAGTGACGCCTGCAGACAAAGGGTCAATATTTACGTTCCCACAGCTTAGAGTGAAACCCTAACACTATCTCAAATCTTAGTCAATCAATTGAGCGGCTGCATTGATGATGGTCTGCTCTACGTACATGTCTCCACACTGTGGCTGCTGATCCACTTGTCCCAGGATTTTGGCCTGCCGGGGTCAGAGGACTTGGGCTTGGGATTTACTTACAGGGGCTCAGTAGGGAAGAAGGGAGAATCCTAATATTTATCTAGTCTCTACATAATATGTTCCTATTGCCTACTAACCACCAGAAATTTAGGGCTTAATGTCTACTTGGGGTTTAGGCATGGAGGTGCGCGCTCCCCTGCCCTACATGTAATCCCAAAAGACTGTGTGAATGCTAGCGCCCTTTGTATAAAAAGCTATTTGGTAAGGTTCCATGTTAATCTGAAGGAGGATTCCCTACTCTTGCCGCATGAGAGGCTATGGAGTCTAGGTTGCGCGAACTCGTATCCTCCTTCTTGGCATGGCAACTCAAAAGCGTGATTTTCCTCATAAGAATGATGCATCTAATCTTGCACGGGCTTCAGCGAATTTGCCTAATACGACATTGAACCAAGCCCTATATGCGGGTACGGCAGACCAAATACGATTCCTACTGCAGTCGGCTTTACTCTCGCAATTTCCCAAGGCTAGAGCCCTCTCTATACCACTACATTACATTCTTCTTGCGATTCTACCTCCGGTACACACAACTCTCGCTGATACTGTGAGGCAAGAGCTAGCGGGGCCTCGACAGTATCGAAGTTGCAGTATCGGCCGAAGTCCTTGCGCTTCTTCATGTAGATGTACCTGACAAGGGATAAGAAGCGACAAGCTCGGCTGTCTACAATTGTACAAGCTAGATTTCAAACCACAGGAGAGGTTTAAGTTATGTCTGGCTGTGAAAACTGCGCAACTTACCATCCACTTGGGAAGGCCGTCTCTCACATGAAGAACCTGCAATACTGCCAACCCCAAACCCTAGAGACTAGGCCCACAACCCGAAACCCAAATCCTAATCTCTGAACCTGCTTAAGCCCTTCTAAGATCCTCCACACCAATTTTGCGGTGATTCCGTCACTTGAAATTCCGCCCTGCTTGCTGTGATGTGACCTGTAGTGGCTGTTCTACTGGTTAAGCGTGCGCAGTTGTGGGCTCTGCCCTACTTGGCTTTAGACGAGGTCCAGGTTCACCTGCGCAGATGCCCGCTACAGTGAGCGTTTCATTGTTGGACGAGACCGCTTTTTCAACGGGATTGCTGGTTTTCTATAGGCGTGGCTACAAGGCTGTCAGTTCTTGCACAGGTGAGAGAAGGTTGGCGCATCGCAAGTTTTTGGAAAATGCTGAGTTTCGGTCCGCGCCAAGCCTGACGGCAGAGCAGCCCAACACAAACACACACGGGCAGGACCTGCAGATAAGCTGCAGCTCTGTACTCGAAACATATCCTTCTATCACACCACCTCTCCCACCCACCTGATTACACATACGAACGTCCTCCTGCAGACGAGAGACTCATACTCGTTCATGGCTCTTACGCACGAGAACTGCGCCCGTCCACTACTCCTAGCACGGCCTGTGCCCAGTCTTTCCTGGGTCTTGTTGTTTGAGACTGAAAAAGCAGCAGATAAAGGCAACTCTTGGTACGATCCACACCTTCCTGAGCCACATGATAGACTCATGATGAACATGCGGGGCCAAGAATGCCCCTCTTCTACGAAGTACCCACAACTCACTATACAAATTGTACCAGGAAGCTTGAGGAATAGCACCTTGCACCAATACGCATGTATGCTGGCAGAGGTTTGCAGGACAGCGCTCCCTGTCAGGTTTGCCATGGGGGCTACATCTTGCAGGGTTGAGGGTGAGCATCTGGATTTTCTCGCTCTGACCGACCCATGAACATGGAAATATTGAGGTCCCCAGACAGCCTACTTCCATTTCCACGCAGCTTTGGGTTTAGGGTTTAGGGTGGGGTGAATGCTCGGATGACTGAAGTTCTAGGCATGGGAGCCTGCATTCACCCATGTGCATCTGCACTTGCAGCCTGCAGATACCTGAACCTCCATGTAGGCCATGCTTGAGGTTGACCTCCAGAGCCCTGCCGCGATAAGCCCTATATCCACACCTATACACCCCACTTGCACTTCAAAACTGATGCACAGCTTCTGGATCCATGGCCACTGCATTATAAGTTTCCAAAATGAAGGCGACCCCCAAAAAACTAAGCCCTGGTACAAGCAGATCATATGTTAGGATCCCCATAGATTCCCACTGTACCACTCGTCCTGGGCGGGGCCCTAACCCCTAGACAAACCAGAAAGGCTCGGTTTTGGGACATGCCCATACACAAAGCCCAGCCCTATACACGAAAGCCAAACACAGACCCCGAGCTTTGAAATATCTACTGTAGGGGCCTAAATAATCACCAACATCATGTTGAGGGTGTATTTCAGGTACCTTATACCACCATTACACGAGGACCCGAGGACCGTAATATCCCCCACAAGCCCCGATAACCACAGATTCCATTGAATTGTCCGTTGTCTTGCCCATTTGATTCTCCATTCTTATTAGTACTCTAAATCCTATGTACTTCTGAATGACTCCCCCTAAACCCTTGAATGACCTTGATACTAGTAACCCCCAAACCCTACTCTTTGGCACTTTGCTGGGGCTCCGACTTGCCAAGCCTTTCTCCAGGATCCTTCACAAGCTCTCAGCGGCCCAAATTCTTACGGTTGATACTAGAATCCTACCGAGCCTAAGCACCTTCTGGTAGTATGGTACACTAACGTACTAAGGTCATGTAGGATTTGGTTGCAGAATTTGGTATAAACATTCGCCGGCATGCCACGATCGTCGACAGGGATGTCCAGAGGGGCCGCCATGCAGGCATGGCAAGTAGGGAATGGAGAAGAAAATGGAATCTACTTAATATTTTCAATTGTAGAGTGTGAGGTTTCGGGTGCAGGGTTTGGGGTGTAGGGCGGGTTTACTGAAGTGGTTTATGTCATCATCATCTCTTGTAGCTTGGCTTCCTTTTGATTCACAGAACTCTTGGTCCCACGTGTCCAACTCAGACCCCCACAATGTAGAGACATGCAGTTTGATTTTCGTGCTTCCTGGGGACCATCTTTAAGGAATCCATCGTTATGGCTCCTTCTAGTAGATGGTTGGCCCTGAAGGGCGATCGCCACAGCCTGAGCCCGCCCCCTTAGGATTGGCTTCCCGGCCCACCCCAAACTGTGTAGCTGCTATGGATAGAGGAAATCTTGCACAACCGAATCTACTTCATACCCCACGACTTAAAGCATTGCAGGGGTCCAAAGTAGTGCAAGATTTCCTCTAGCCAACGTAACGCTGTGGAAAAACATCTCCTGATTTTTTGGTCCCGCCTTGCTGCAGCTGCAAGGTGCGGTGAACCCTACCCTGCTCTCCAAGAAAAAGACTGGTTCGTAGCCTGTGTAACCCAGAAATCCCTCTAACCCCGCTTCGAGTCCAGCAACCAAGCCCTCTCGCCCCTCTTCTACTCACACCTCATGGAAATCGACAAAGTCCTAGAACCCAAGCCCTATTAGAAGGCGCGGTGTAGTTGCATCGCAGTGAAACGTCCAGTTGTACACCAGCCGTAACCCTACTTCCAGGACTTGGGCTATAGCCATAGCTACAATTAATCAAGATTGGGTTGAGAACTGCCCTGCGTCTGCAAGTAGCACTGAATCTCCAACCCTAACCCCGAAATCCCAAACAGTAGAACCGAACCAAATCCTGAACCCTGAGCCCTAAACCCTCCCAGGCCTAGCAGCCTTGTTTGCCAGGGCGACAGCACTCTCACCCGAGACCCGGTTGGCCTCACAGCTTTGCAATGGCCCCTGCTGGCTAGCTAGGCATATAGCAAAATAGTAATGTTTCTGTACCCTTAAATGCTCAGAAAACTTCTGAATAAGGCTGCATTCTATGGGGGATTGTCAGGAAGGGCAGTTTCTAGGCCTAGGGATCTATAGAGACTATGGGAGGAATATGGCGGTTTCTCGACAGTCTAGGTCGCCGTCTGGAAGCTTTGACCTTCTTACGGGGCTTGCGGCGCGTTTCATATACTTTACTGTAAATGCCTAGAGTTTGTGGCCTTGGGATGTGCGCCCTTCATCGGGTTGCTCTAAACGCATTGTAAGGGTTTGCGTTGAAAGGCTTAGAATCAAATCCGCTCAAAGTCAAGGGCCTCAATCTGGGTGATGTGCAAGAAGAATAGCTCGTAGCCTCTAGAACCCCTATATACTTTTAACTATTTGTAGTTATATCACACACACATAAGTAGACAAACACTGCAACCCTAAACCCTGTGGAACTAATCATTTGGGCCTTCAGGGGGGACCTTGTGCTTTTGAACTTCCTGACCGCCATTGATGTAAGATCGTCTCCAGCACTCCTATACTAGGATCTAGGGTTCAGATAGGGACTGCAGGACTGGAAAAAATGGAAACAGCAACTTTGGCGAATTACGCATGGGCTACTATAGGGATCCATTTCTCAATTCCCCACGGATAACCGGTCATTTCTGGGGCAATCTTGTGAAGTCCCGATTGCGGTGCGATGGTTAGGCTTGCTAAAGTGGCATCTGAATACGTGCGAGGATTTCAAGGCAATCATGCATCAGCGCCAGGCAGTACAATAACTAACGGAAAGTGATCACCATCTTCTCTGGCACGAACTCATGTGTTCTATGAATCAAGAGGCATATGTGAATTCTCTGTGGCTCCCTCTTACTTAGGCTCACGTAGAGCTTCTTCTGAAAAACTTCCGTACAGGCAGCTAGAGTCCCTAAAAACTTAGACCCTACATTCTGGATCCCGAAACACACCACAAATCCTAAACCCTCAGACCCTCGAATCTAATGTAAGACCAGATCCCCAACCCTAAGCCCAATATAACCCTACATAATATCGTAGTTTCCATTTTCTTTTCCGTTATCCCAATAGAACCCCTACATACCCCCAACACAACCCAAACCCTACACCCTTTTTTTGGCCGACGCCGGCGACGAACAAGTGTCCGCAGGCAAAGGCCGTAGCGGTTCCAACTGCCATGCCGAGTGGTCATGGGATAGGCACCTCATCTCCTTAGGCTCCTTTTTCTTTTAAGGTTTAGGGTTTAGGGTTTAGGGGTTTAGGGTTTAGGCACCTCAGTTTAACTGGCCTCTGGTTAGCTCAGAATGAAGGAATGGAAAGGAAAATGGCAACTACTACAATGGGTCATATAAGGACTACTATAAGGATCCATTCCTTCATTTCTTGCCTAGCTAAATGTAACTAAGGTTCGCCTGGACTCTAGTCTTGGGCTTAGGGTGGGAGTTTCGAGCTTCAACTTCCCCAGTTCTTTTTATGGCACCTCATACCCCTTGGTTAGTTGGAGTGCCATACGAGCTGGGGGGGTTTAGGATCTTTCAGGTTCTCGCATTGAGGATTAGTGTTTCGGGTTGCAATCTTGTTTAGGGTCTGAGGCTTCGGAACTTGGTTTCGAGCTGCGAGCCTGGGATCTGTTGGTCTGAGAGTTGCAGAGTTTGGGCCCAAAGTTAAAAGCGATGGTACAAACCATAGACATCCCCAAACCCTAAACCCTAAGCCCCAAACCGCGGTGAGGAACTGCCATAAGCCAAATTCTTTGTTCTTCTTCGGTCTACTCCATTCATACCTATGGTTGCACGATCTGGTCATGCGAAGTTGGCGAGTTTCAGGCCTGTTAAGTAAAGAAAGACATAGAATTTTACAATGCGAGCAAACATAAATTTGCACACAGCCCTTGTGATGGAGCGCGGAGGCTGGGATTCTATTTTCTTTCTTGCCTAGCCTGTACGTGGCACAGGGAACAAAAAAAGCTTTCCAGGCCAACAGCCTAGCCGCCCGGTAGAAATAGTCTTCACACTCCTTGGGCGTAAAGAGGCACATCTCAACCGAGAAGGTACGAATGAGAGCCTCCAGCGTGTAGGTCTTGCCGTCTTCGGCACACAGCCGCAACTGGGGGTCGGGTAGCCGAAATCTTGGCCCTTTTACATATACCGAAAGCAAGGATTGCGACAACCATTAAACTCTGAGAGGCTAAGAGCTCCGACCCTTCCCTTATCTTCCTTGGTTAACTCCCCACCTCACCCTTGCCATTGGATTGTGTCTTTGGTTGCAGCAGGCCATCAGCAGGTTCGAGCTCCAGAGATCCACCGGCGTTTGCCAGGACTTCAGCGATCTCCAGGTGTTGGCCGGACGTGTTCTCTCCATCCTCGTGGGTAGCGGCTTCGTAGGCTGATTCAAAAGGGAAGAGAGCGAGGGCTCAGCTTTCATATGGCAGTGTCCGAAAAAGGGTGTTGTCGCATGAGAACCTCCCTCTTCTTGTTGCTGGTTGACGCTGCCGGGAATCATGCAACGACTTTGGGATAATTTCTATCGGCCCCCACGCCAATCCCACCAGTCACAATAGAAAACCGACTTGGAAGCATTTGAGCCCCGCATAAGAGCCCTAACCTCTCAACGCCTCTTCCTGCGGGAGTCTTTGTAATTCCCGAGGCAATCTTAGTCGTAAAGCCGTGGTTAAGTTCCTTACTATCTGTACAAGCCCTTCGCAAGAGACCGCATGCATTGGGGGTTGCAAGGAGCAAAATACCAAAAGCCGCAAGACTTGGCTCCCTCTGTGGAGGCTGAAAGGCTCGAAAAGCCACGAAACATTCTATGCATCCCCTATCTGGTAGCTTCCAGAAATAGGGGACCCCAACATACTATATAGCCCTTCTTCTAGGAACCCCGGAGAAAAGGATCCCGAACTCTTCGAAACCCCTACTTCCATCTGGAAACACAACATTCCAAAACTCCGCGCCAAGCACCTGCGAAAGCACATGCGAGTGTGCAAGCCAGCGGGGTGTCTGCCCGGCTTTCGTGCAGGCATTCAGCTCACAGCGCCCAGCAACGAGAAGCTCCACAACCTAAGGTCCCATACAGGACTGGAAAAATTGAATCGATCCGTAATCCGGAATTCAAACCTGTTTTGGTAGGTTCCCAAAATTATTGTAGTAGGTATTATCAGGGGTGAGCTCATGTTGCGCTGTTTGCAGTTTGCCCAGATGGGGGGGGGGGTGTCTTGAACCCCGGCCGGGGCATCGCATTTTGGCTTTGACGACGTTCCTTGAAGATTGGGTTTATAGGGTTTAGCAGATTAGGAAAGCCTACGCAGTCGTGATATAGCACCGAGGGACTAGGGACCCGTCTTCAAGTGTAGATCCCAGCAGTTTTTCCACATGAGGAGGATCCCCAAATTGTCCAAAGCAGGCGAACAGCTACTCGTTCTCTTGAGACTACACCAAAGTTAAAAAGCCACTCATTGGGACAATTCTGAATTAGGCGTCCTCTCTATGTCCGCAAAAAACTACCATGATGCAATGCTTGTCAGATGGGCGCCCGATAACACTTAACCCCCTTGATTTTCGGAAATCCCACTCGGGCAGCTGGGTAGGCATACCGCAAAACCCTACCGTCTTCAAAAGTAGTAATTGTAAGGGACTACAGGATATGACCTGTTTATATTGGGTTGCTCCCTACCTACATCTCTTATATCAGCCCAGTTTCCATTTCATGTTTCATGCTGTTTTCCAATTGTTTTTCCCCCTTGCTGGGGTTATAGATCCCTGTAAAGCCTATGACCCTATATACCTCCAAATCTAATAAGTATATCACCACACTATATCCATCTCTAACCCCTAGTAGATCCCTATACTACCCTCTAAATCCTAATTGGACAATTGGACAGTCGGAACCTCCAGAGATCCCCCGTAGCTCGCCAAGTGAATTGGCCTCGCAAGGGTCATGAGAGCTCCGAACCAGGAGGGGGCTTCTAGGGATTATGTAAGGATATGAGCTATAGTCTAAACTCCTTAAAGGGGATTATATAGGGGACTATTAGGGGGGAAACTAGGAGTTTAGACTATAGCTCATATAGGGTTTAGGGCTGAGGAGTTCCTTGGAGGTTCATGGGACCGGCAAATCCCAAACCTTCAACCCTAAACTCTAAGTCCTAAGCCCAAAACCCAATCCTAGACGTTAAGCCCCACTTCGTAGATCCTAAATCCTAACCCCCCAAACAAACCCTAACTCCAACGACCTAGATTTCCAATCCTAAGCCCGAAATCCCCAACGCTAAGCCCTTTTGCAACAGGGTTGCAAAGTCACCCAGCCGAGCTAAACGCTAAGCCCTAAATCCTAGACCCTACGGTGGATACTAAAAATCCTGTATGACCCTAAATACCCTAAACCTTGGGAATAATGGTAGCATAGTATACTAAGGTCATGCAGGATTTTGAGTATCAACAGTAATTGTAGCCTCCAGCCCAAGAGGTCAGCCTGTTCCAAGGAGGCACCCTGGGACAGAAAATTTCGGACTAAGTCCTGAGCTCTATGTGGAGAATGGACAATTGGATAGGGAAAAAGGGGGCCATAGAGAGGGGTCAGGTCGACTAGGGCTTGGGCTTAGGGCGTATGGTCTAGGGTTTGGGAGTCAGGGTTCACGGCCTAGGGTTTGGGATTTCAGGCTGAGGATCTAGGGTTCCGATTTAAATGTTTAGGAATTTTGGACATTTTTGATAACCTCAACTGACAGTAGGCCTTCAACATCATGTTTAAGGATTTTGGACATTTTTGATAACCAAAACTGACAGTAGGCCTTCAACATCTAGCTGGAGTTTCCAACAAAACCTTGTCGACCTGGAGTCAGACCCTGTAGTGACAACTTCTGGCGCCCCAAATGCATCCGCCGTGCAATGACTGGCTTGTAGCATCCAGCTTAATCCTACATCCGGAACAAACGCTGTTGTAGAAAGAAACAGCGAAACCTATGCCGAAGCCCTGAACAAACCCTTAAACCCCTCAACACAGAACAAATCTTAAACCCTGAACAAGCCTCAAGCCCTAAACCCTAAACCCTAATCAAACCTCATTATGGTGAAAAGAGCTTCTGAAGCAGAGCCCTGGCACCACATCGCCTGACCTACAGGCGAACCAAAGGCTCCCCCGACCCAGTCGGTCAGTAACCTCTTTGGGTTGACGGCGTAGGGCCCAGTGATTTTTGGGGCGCTTTTGGCTTTAGCGTTTGGCGTTTGTAATGCATGGGTTATATGGGGGAATAAAGGACATGAAAGGATAAGCTTTGTGGGTGTACTATATACTTTACGTGAATTTCACAGGAGTCCTGGCCGTTTGAGAGTGGTCTTAGGGTAGAAATTCTTAGTGAGAACACCAAAAGGTATCATGTGCATAATATGTATATACATACACATCTTTGCGGAAATCCATCATACAGGGATACAGGAAGCACGTGAAAGCAAATAAACAGACTTTTGTATGTGTACATGTATGTGGTGGTTTTCCCAAATTTTGGGACCCCAATACAGACCCCAAGATACTACAACCCTCATGGGGGCCCACATAACGGCTCCCTAATTGTTAGGTTTACGAAAGTAAAGAGCAGCGCTCTTCTTCTGCACCTCCCATTGGGTGTGCGCTGGACGGGGGCAGAGGTTGCCGCTGTCCATGAATGAAGCCATGTGAGCTACAGTCTAATCTCCTTAAAGAGGGTTATGTAGGGTGTTATATAGTTGTAAGGGGATACTAGGAGTTTTGACTATAGCTCATGTAGGGTTTAGGGTTTAGGCTTGGGGTTTTGGGTTCGAATTCTGTCCTGCCCCTCTAGGGGGCAGAATACTTGGAATACACTTCGCGGGATCGTCAACACTAGAATTCTGTAAGGCATATAAGTGGCGACTTCACACTGTTGAGGCTTCCACATGCTGTCTAGGATGTAAAGATAAAGCCCATGGCTTTTGAGCCTCTCGGGCTGCGGAATGGATCCGTCCAATATGAACGCCTGCTTCCACCCAATTACTGATCAACATGTGTTCATGAGGGCTGGGGACTTCGATGTCTGGGAAGGGATTGCTCCATGTCTCTAAGCCATTGCTTCCAACGTAGGCAGAACGTGCCATGTCTTCCATGAGGGGGCGTGGATGAGTCTGCGAACGCGAGAGTCAACCAGCACATTTCTCACTAAGACTAGGACACCAGGCAGCTTTGGTGCTGATGACTAAATTTTTATCTTACTGCCAAAGATGCCTTTAGCCGAGCAGAGCTTGATCCTCTCTTCCCCACGCGGAGGAGCATAGCAAATCCAGTCCTTGAATCCTGACTAAATTGGGCTAGCCTGAAAATCCTGAACCTTTTTTGGGGTAGGCCTCTTGGGTAGTCATTGCTCGGTAGGCCGCGGTCGCCGGCCGAAACTGATCGTAGCCGGGTGGGCGAAAAGCATACCTCTGGGTTGGATCACCCACGGAAAATCAGGGTTTAGGATTTAGGTGCATGAATGTACAGGAAGTACATGTGGTCGGAACCATGGTGAGCATTTGATCTTGCCAGTGTGCTGGGTTTCCGCAGCAACACAAGGTACAAGCATGACATGTTTGTGTTTGACAATTCAGCTCTTGGCGGCCTTTGTTGCTTTGTCTTGCCAAGTTGAAGCCTATGATCCATGCAGTAATTCTCGCACTGTGCTCTGCTCAAGTATGCAGCAATGACAATCACGTGACGGCAGGTTAGGCAATGAAGGAAACGGGGAAGCTCAATATGCTGGGCAGCTAACAAAATCAGAGAGCATGGCTACCAGCCACGAGCAAGCAAGCGGAGGCTCTTGTGGATTCGCAAACTTGTTCTGAAGCTCTTGTGAACTGTGAACCTTCCACTTCCTCGAACAAAAGTAAGGGTCTCTGCTGGCTAGGCAGAATTGTGCACACATGCTGTCTGTGACCTGACTACAGCGGCTAGATTTTTCAGCGACATTTGCTACACTCGGTAATTATGTCATGCGACGCTGTGCGGATCGAAGTATGACGCCCTTCCCTTATCGGGGCCGTCTTAAATACCTATGTTTTGTGCTTGGTCCTAAGATCCTAGCTTTAGGGACGCCATGGAACCTGTACTGGGCCCCACGCATCATGCTGGCCGTCTTATCCGAATAACGTACTCGCGCAGCGCCAGCTTCCTGCACCAAAATTAAGGATCCTTTTGGGGAGTCCCCGGGATAAGGATGATCATCTTCTGGAGTAAGCAAGGCTTAAGGGGTACACCAATTTTGGAAACAATGATTGTCAGGCTTTTGAAGCCAAACTTGCTTCACTGCTGAAGATTCCTGAAGCCTGTAAGAAAACTTTGCCATCCGTCTGTACAAGCTACCCTTTGCGGTCAGGTCAATATTAGTCAATTCACTGGGCTGTCAAGGAACCTAAACTAAGTTACCATAATATGGGTATATAGTGCAGAGAAGTGCTTGTTGAGAACCGTACTTGCCAGAAAAGTATTAACCCCGCTGCAGTCCTGATCCGCCTCTAGCCAGTGAAGAAAAGGCTTTCCTTGATGCAGCCTTATTTTAGAAATTTACTCAAGCCCTAAACGCTAAACCCTAACCTCTAAAACCCTATTAAAAACCCTAAACCCTATCAACCCTATCAACCCTATCAACCCTAAACCCTACACCCTTAAGTTCCTTAACAGCAACCCAGTATAATTTGCCCAGTGCACTGCCTCACCAGCACTGGTCCAAAGGATCGCTTCAAGCCACTTCTTCTCCTGATGCCGAGCAAGGAGGTGGGTCCAGGATTTAGGCTTTAGGATTTTAGGGTTTAGGGCTACCTAGACTAGATTCAGATGCTGAAAGTGCTGAATCATTTTTGTAGGTCAGGTGCGAGCTCACTTACCCTTCTTCCTCATGATGGGGCTCCTGTATGCTTAGTGAGCCTGAATTTTGCGGACTGGAGTCCCGAGACATATGCAGATGGGCAAGGTGCTTCAGGTCCTGCATGCTGGCCCCTCAGTACTCAACAGGAAGGGTATAGTGGCGGTGCTGATGATGCTAATAGTCGTAGCTGTGCTGTAGCAGTCATGGCAGCAGGGGTAGTAGTAGCAGCAGCAGCAGCAGCAGCACCCTTGACATTTCGGCAATGCTCATAGGCTTAAAGCTGAACTGGGCAGCGCTGAACTGGAAGCTTTGAAGTAAAATCCAATAAAGGGGGGGGGGGTAGTTTCCATGCTGCTTGCTCAGGTATTCTTAGGGGTGTTGCAGGTTTGGCGAGGGGATTTCAAGGAAAAAACAAGTGACATGTTGAAGGGAGGGCATCGACAGGTGGCTCTTAATTATCAGGGTGAGGCAGGAACCATGATGAATATCACCCCATGACCCAAAATTGCGAACTTTTAGGTGCTTCGCACTCCAAAGACCGAATGCCCTCAACCCTCCAAGCAGCCTGTGGCAGGAGCGTTCCAGAGGCTCCGCCTCCGAGTGGAATCTCCAAGGAGAAGAGGAGCACACCTTTTGGCTTGTTCCGTTTTCGGAGCCTCATGTCAATCATCCTGATGATCGTGCGGCGGTCTTGTTTCTAGTATACAGCCAACATACACGACAGACAGGCACGACAGAAGTGTGATGGCATTGTGACCTTGCCTAGACCTCAAACCACAGGATAGGTGCGATAGGGTTAGGCTTCAAATTTCATGATGTCTCCAAATCTTTACAATCTGCGTAATAATGCTGAAGCTTCTTCAAGGCGCTCACAGTAACACCAGTTGAGCAAGAACTGCAAAACCTATCTGGGGGTGTCAACAGGCTGATGAGGGGCGCCCGCTATTCTTGGAAAATCGTATGTTCATCTTCCAGGGGTACCTGGCGCTGGGGCCGTGCAATCCCGCCCTATGCCCTCTGAGGCCAGCCTTATGATGGGGTGAGACGCCTGCTACTTAGTAATGTTGGACCCGATTTTGCCTTGAGGTCCGCTAAGATGTGGTTCAGGGCTGCTTATTTAGGATCTAAAGTCTAAATGTGTTGGAAAGAGTCCAAAAAATCCCCCAAACCCTAAACCCTCAATCACATCTCTGACATCATCGTTGGAGTCAATTCCTGGGATGCTGGACCTCGCTGGTCGGTCTCGATCCTGTCGAACCGAAGGGTTCAGGGTTTCGCTTGTAGGGTCTAGGGCTTAGGGTTTTCGAACTTCGGGCTTGTACTCGGTTTCGCTTGTAGGGTGTAGGGTTTTCGAACACGGGGATTGGACGCTGGGTTAGTCAGGTTTAGGGTTTGGGCGGTAGGGGTTTAGGGCTTGGGATTGGCCATGGTGAAGGTTGCAGGGTCCTTGAAGTCTGGATCCGCAAGGAGCCTCCCACCGACCAACAAGTCCCTTACTCAAGGGGCATACTGGGTTTAGGGCAATACTGCCCTAAACCCAAAAGCCTAAATGCTAAATCCTCAACGCTAGATCGCGCCGTGATGGGTTTCCACCATGCTTCGGCATGGAGAAGATCACGCCAAAGTTTCGAGAGTCACTAGAACATACTGGCCATTTTGGGGTCCGTATAATGAGGACTACATATTCTAGTAATAAGGCTTAAAATGCCTTGGTAATAAGTAGGGGAAGAGGCAACAAGGAACCGTTCTTCTTCGTCATTCTTTCATCCACTGGATGAAAAAAACAATCATGGTCAGACATGTGATCCTTAAGCGCGACCTTCCCGCAGGAGAGCTTAAACCCTAAACCCTATAGACCCCTATATATATGTATCTATATCCGCCTTCAAAGTAGTTCCTACCCCATGACCACAACAGAGCCACTTTAACCGTGGAGAAGCCAGAGGAGACTTGACAGTAATGGAGAAAACGCTGGCGGCCGCCTTTCTTCTTCAGGGTCTAGGGCTTACGGTTTTAGACTTAGCGTTCAAGGTTATTGAATAGGTACTGAGTATTGAAGCACAAACATGCTCACAGCGCTTTCCAAAGAACGCAATGGTGTGTCTCAATTTTCCTGTTACATAGAACTGGCGCCTGAAATCGCCTTCTGCTCGGGCGAGATAACGCCATGTACCCACATGCCGCTGGGCCACCTGCATTCCCAAAAGTGTTTTGTTTCCTTCTGAGGCGGTCTTTGTATCACCATAACTTCTGGTGCGTTTATTTTTGGGAAAGCCACTGATGTGATGAGACTGTTAGGCCGTGGGTTGGCTGTGCACTTGCGACACGTGCACAATCTTCTTAGGAGCAGGTTGGGCATCTGGTTACAAAAAAAACTAAGATTCCATAAAGCATTGGAAAAGGCGAAACTGGAGATCTTGTCCATGCGTGTAAGTCTAATCCCCAGAGGGGGACCGTTGAGCTATCAGCCGCGAGGCTTCGGTCCATCTGGACATGGGTAGTATCACAAGCAATAGTCACTGAGGAGGAACCCCCCACCCTGTAATAGTGGTATAAGAAGTATAGAAGAGGACCCGAATATTTTCCCTATTATCCCTTATAGTCACTATTACTGGGTGGGGGGTCCACCTAAATAATCCCACTCTTTGCTCGGCCAACAAGAATGAGCCAACACCTCGCACCAAAATGAGCCAAAGCCTCGCAAAACCAGACAGAAGCGTCCTTGTGGGAGGTTCTTATTTTATTCCCGCTGCTGACTACCCCATGAACAGCTGCTTCCATACACCTCAACCCCAGCGGCACTTCTAGGCTCAAAGTTTG